ACCAGTACTGTACCCCAGTGTTACACAGTGACAGACCTGTCCCCACCAGTACTGTACCCCAGTGTTATACAGCGACAGACCTGTCCCCACCAGTACTGTACACCAGTGCTGTTTCAGTGTGCTGCCTGCAGACACCTCCCTGTTTTTACTTGGTTGTTTGTGAACTGAGAAACCCTTGAAATGAACAAACAGTGAAAATTACACACAGACTGTCTTACTCTGTTCATTTCAGGCATGGCTCACAATGATTATTTTTAACAGGTTTCACAGAAATGTCATGAATGAGGCACTTGCACAGTTCAGCACCATGGAAAGAGGACAAAACAAGAGAAATACTGACAGAGCACAAGAGAAAGAGCGAGATAAAGACATACTGCTGTAGAGCGTGTCGATCCAGGAGAGTCGAGGCAAGCCGTGATGGCTGAGGGGTTCCATGTTCAATGGTGTTTTGCTTCAATGTTGGGAGCAGCAGCTCATTACACAGTGCAGGCTTAAAGGGAGAGAAGCAGCATCAGGGAACTGAGATCAGGTCCACAGGAAAGCAAGTGAGGAGGTGCTGAGGGAGCACTGGATCTGAGCATCAGCAACAAAGCCAAGCGACAGCTGCTACCAGGCAGGGCCCAACGCTGAGCTAGTGGCAAACAATGGGAATGCTGGTTTCTGCAGCACAGCACTGCAGGCAATCCATCAAAAAGCAGCAGTTGGGGAGCACGCTGGGCTCTTATTAACGAGTAGCCGCAGGCCAATGTAGCAGTGATGGTGCTGAGTGTAGCAGCAACAAGCTCCGACACTCACACAGCACACAGTACACTCTCATGGGCCAAGCTTCATTTAGTCGGAATGTGTTGTTCAGCAGCAAAGCCCCAGCTGAGTGCAGCCAGAGCTGCTGTACAATGCAGCTCCAACCATTTCAAATGCAAATGAGCACTGCACTGCTCCAGACTGGCATTCACCCCCACCTCACTACCCTGACACCCCACCCCCACCCACACTCAGACCCTCGCCCCCAGCTCCTATCCTCCTCGCCCTGACCCACTCACCCTCGCCTCCTCACCCTCACCCCCACCCATTCACCCTCAACCCCTCGCCTCAGTCCCCCAGCCTCATCCCCATCCAC